TTGGGGTGGGGAGGCGGGAGTGAGGCTGAGAGAGAAAAGGCTTGCAAGAAAGACCCAAGAGAATTTGTCTTTAATTCTGACAGCTACCTTGGGGATCCTATATTAATAGCATTTCTCCTTTTCCGGGTTGGATGGACACGTCTTCTCTGGTTAATGAAGATCCCACGTAATGACCCACCCAACAGGACATCTTTAGTGGGAGCACCTGGCTCCAGTCCCCTCAGGCTGAGAAGAAGTCCCCGCACCGCCCAGCCTACCCTGGGGGAATCTGCACAAAACTCCTCTGAGAATCTCAGCTCTCGTCTGCCGGTGTCCCCCTTGGGACCGAGCACCCGTAAACTGACAGGGGACCGGGAGGGGACGGGGGCGGGGTGGGGGGTGGGTGGGGAGGAGACAGAAGAGGTATGGGTGCCAGCCTCCAAGTGCTCAGGAAGCCCTTGTGCAGAATCAGGCAGCCCCCTTGGCCTGGTGGAGTCCGCTGCAAAAGGAAGCACCAGGTATTGCGGGCTTACTTTCTTTCTTTTCTTTTCTTTTCTTTTTTTTTTTTTGGTGTTTTTAGATCAACAAGGCGAAAGCACCTTCAGCTGAAAATGCCTTAAAGATTTTAAAAAGGAGAAGGGGGGAGGAAGGGTGGCAATAAAACTTGGCCGAAGGAAATTTCCAGGCCAGTCCAGGGATGCGCTGAGGGAATCCAAAAGACGCAGGGCTCCCTTGGACCCTGCCTAGAGACATATTTTCGGGAAAGTAAGAACACACACACACACACACACACACACACACACACACACACCTTGGAAACCCACAACAGTCTCTTTGGAACTTGGACCTCCCGCTCCCATCTCCCTTTTCTCCCCAGCCAGCCAGTCCAGTCCCCGCGTTGGCTCCGTCTGCACCCCCCACCCTGGGGGCGCACCCCGCTGGGCTAAAGCCGCCTAAGGGCCCCACACCTCGGCCAGGTCACCCGGGAGCACTTTCCCGGTTCACGCCTCCCTCACCCAGCACCGTCCACCTCTTTCCTCTTTTCGGCTAGAAAACAGAAAAGGGAAGAAAACGGGACCGCCCTTCTTGGCCTGCAGTTTAAGGGGGTCTTCTACGAGTCAGATAATCTCCCAAAGAAGGGGCGCCTGTCTGGGGAGAAATCCACATGTAAGACTGTACAGTCATACGCTTACAAAACTGTGGCTGGGGGATCTGGAGGCTTGTGACGGGTCATACACCCGCTCGGGCAGAATGTCCAAGGGTCACATGCATTCCTTCGGCCGTCCATAGATACCTACCGCGCACCTATGAAACTATCTGGCACTTTCCTTTTACCTTCTGCTGGTGCTGTCCAGCCCAACGCCCGTCCTGACAAGGCTTACCCCCGCTCCTTTCCCAAGAGAACCGGCCTGAAGAGCGACTGACGAGGATACTTCACGCCGGGTGAAGAGTACTAATTACCGAGGAGAGGCTGGCAGCCAGGGCGCAGGGACCCAAGGGTCCCGCCAGGGATCGGGATCTTTTATCTCAAGGGAGCCGCGCCCCAGGGAATTGCCAGAGAGAACGGGGTATCCCCTTCCCTGAGCACCTCTCTAGAGAACCAGGGCTGAGATCTTTGGGAGACCCGACGACTACTGACTGCTCAAGCCAGTCGAATTCTTCCGGGACATGCATCCCTGCTGAAAACGGAATGAGACGCGTTCCCCACTTTTGCTATGAAACTTTGGAAAGGGAGGTTATGGTCCCTAATTGCCCAGGTAAAGGGAACCCCATTCGCCCACACTGTCCAGCCCCCATTCGGAGTAGGAAAACCTCCCTGTGCAGTGCGTTCGCACCGCCCCACTGAGCCAGCGAAACTCGCTCTACGCCAACTTCTCTGGGCTCTGGACTCAGCGCCCGCTTAGACGCGGAGAGAGATTGGCGGCCCAAGCTAGGGAAATTGAGCCCGGCGCCGTCCGGGTCGCTCAAGGAGGGGAGGAGGGGGTGATCCCAGACCTCCGGTTTCCCGAGGTCCCCCTTGGGATCCGCTCGCACCTCCAAGCCTCTGCTCCGGGCGGCAGACCTAACGGCGCTTGCTTAGAGTGCAGACCGGAATGCTTGCTGCACGCCTGTGAAGGGCCCTCCCTTGCCTGCAGCTTTTCTCGACCTGCGCCCTTGCCCTTCCTTATCCCCACCAAGATGAGGAGCCCCTGGCAGAATGCTCTGGCCACAATGGAGCCAACAGCCTCCGTTTCCAGTTCTGTAACCTGAACGCTGATAATGGGTTTCTTTCCCTCTTGCTCCCTCTGATGCAGGTCCTCTGGTCATGGACCGCGAGCGTCTTCCCAGGGCAGGGAGGAGGCATCAGAGGGGACCCGAGAAACTCACAAGAGAGCAAACCGAACCCCCGAATGGAGGTGGCAGAGTCGGCACCTGAGCCCCTGCAGAAATACAGGACCGCCCCAATGGCTAATCAGTGGTGTCCTCGAGTCAGACTTGGCCTGGTCCTGGCACGTCCAGGAGAGGGCAACGTCTGGTATCTGGGAGACAGGGGTCCTTCTGGACCCCTGTTTCCCTGTTCTGTGCAGACCAGAAATGTCAGGCACCTTGAACACTCTTTTCTTGCTGGCTCCCCCATAGACACGTATCTCCCAGTTCCTGTAACTGGGCTGCCCAGAGGTGAATCCAAACGGGAGGAAATATCGAGTAGTAGGAATTTCTGCAAAGATAAATCTCAGCAGCAGAGCAGTCCTGATTGAGTGGAACACACCACCCCCCCCCCACCATCTAAATTTTCCTGCAGTTTCTTAGGCAGTTTCTGGGCTTTTGGCGCCCCCTCTGGATTCAGTTGAAAATTGCACCATTTTTAAAGTCCACTGATTGTTTATCCTAAGTTTTCAAGAAGATACAAGAACACAAAATGCTTGCATCAAACGAACAGAAAAATGTACAAAACACTAAGTTAATGATTTAAAATTCTATGTATTACCTCTTCCTATTGCATAAATATATTAGGCATATATTTATATGTGCATGTATTTATCTTGATAAATATTTAGAGAAATATTGCAGAATATCTTAAAGCCCCAGGCTTCAGTGCTTTTAAGCCAGTAAACATGAGAACTACAGTAAAGTGCAACTAAATACAGATGCCTTGGTTAAAATATCTGCCCCAGGTTCTGGTCTCGGACTGTCCTCCCGGATCAGGTGTCTACGAATCACTGTTATATGCACAAATGTCCCCTCCCCAAGACACAGAAATCAGTTGCTACTACGCGGGACTTTCTTCTCCAAAGAAAGGACGAAATTGTTCTTACACTTTCCCAGCGAATTCACGGAGCCGTGAATACACAGCTATTGTACAGGAGGTCTCTGAAACTCATAAACAAGCTATAGGGTACTATAGACATTCACTGTGCGAGAGTTACATTCGTTTAAAAAGTAAATCGTATTTAACTGTCAGTGGTAACTTACTCCCTACTGAAGAGCTCCATTTCCTATAAGAAATGTAGACCTCTTTGGAAGAAAATGAGAGAAAACGAGATCTTTAAATTTTTTTTCAAGGAAAACAATTCTTTTAAACCTTGCAATAGTGTCCACAATGTGCAAATTAGAAAAAAAAACAAGTCTTTGATAGGATGAGGCTGATTCACCGTAACAATAACTGAACTGAATTCGAGGCGGACATTTGAGAGAGCCAGAAAGGGGGGAAGTTTAAAATTAAGAGATTTCCACAGTTGTGCTTTTATTTTTGATTCTGAAGACACGTAACCCCCAGGCGTCTAGGAACTTTCTTGTCTTCCAGAGCTGATGATACCCAACCAGGCACTAAAGGCAGTTGGTGCAAAGACAAAGATATCACACTGGAGATACTCCCCCACTCCCTCCTCCGAACTCCTAGCAGTCTGCGATTCGGAATAGGACCCGACTACCGTCAGGAGACAACAGTTTCACCCCTCCAGGTGTTTTGTAAAAGGAGGGCGAAAGAGCAGCCAGACTCCGCCAAGGTGGAGTGTTTTGTCTGCGGTGCGGCCCATGTGCTTGGCCTTTCGCAAACCAAGGGACCGGCCTCAGCCTCTCGGCCCGGCCAGGCACGGCCACACTGGCAAAGTTCGATCTCTCAAAGCCAGAGCAGTTTGCGAGCTCTTTCCAGGGGCAACTACTGCTGGCGTTTGGACTCAGCCAGGAGATGAAAAGCAGAACGTTCAAAGCAGTTGCCCATCACTGAGCAGTGTCGCGGAATGGGGGGCTTGGTGGGGGGCGGGTGGGGAGTCTGGAGAAGCACTTGCCAGCGTTCAAGGTCGCCATGGCGCGGGACGGCTCCCGGGCGCGCCGGGCTCTCGCGTCGCCGCCGCCACCGGCCTTCGCGGGGACTTAGCTTAGGTTTTTCATTGATTGCAAGAGCGCAGCAGAATCCCTACCAGCCGCAGCAGCCCCGGCGAACCAGAGCATGTTAATCTATTTATATAGATTATTACAGAGGAACAGCGGGCGTTGAGTCACCAAAACATTTGCTTCAAAAGGCCATTTCTAAGCACTTTCGGAGCAGGCAGGCTCCAGGCGCACAAACCGGGCTGGACGCGTTAAGGAGCGACTGCGTTCTGATGGCTGCAAACTTCCAGCTAAGTCTCCGGTACCGCGCAGAAAGCAGGGAAAAGAAATGCATGGGGGTGGAGGCAGATCCTAGTCTAGACACACACACACACACACACACACACGCGCAAAATTCGTGCGGAGACGGCCCCAAACTTCTGACATTACGAGAGTACGGCAAACTTACACACTTGGACGTCCTGGGTCCCCGGCCTTCCCCGCTGCACACCCCCCACCCCCACCCCAGCCCGACCAGAGGCAGCGCGGCCCTCCCCGCTCTCCCCCCTCCCCGCTCGTCACTCAAGCCCAGGGCCGCAATCCTCCTCTCCGCGAAACCGAATCCAATCAGCTGCCTGCCAACCCCGATGCCGCGCTGCGGTTGGCTGGCCGTCTCTAAGGTGAGGAAGCCGTAGTTATTAAAGAGCCCCGGGGCTGGGAGTTGAGGAGCTGAGAGCGGGGATTGAAACTCTCTGGAAACTTCAGTGGCGCCGCGACTCGCCAGTTTCCCTCCAGGAACTTTTCTTTGCAGGAGGAGAAGAGCGGGGGTGCAAGCGCCCGGCTGTTGCGCCCTTTCTCCCCCTCCCTCCTCTCCTCTGCGTTCGCCTTCCCCCACTCCGAGCGCGCGGCTGCGGGCTGGCCACCGCGCGCCTCCCCGAGTGCTCGCCGCCGCAGCCGGGAGACGCGCCGGGCTCCCCGCGAGCCGCTCGCTCCGCGCCCGGGCAGCCGAGGGGAGAGGAGCCCGCGCCTCGAGCCCCCGAGCCGCCGCGGCTTCTCGCCTTTCCCGGCCACCCGCCCCCTGCCCCGGGCCCGCGTATGAATCTCCTGGACCCCTTCATGAAGATGACCGACGAGCAGGAGAAGGGCCTGTCCGGCGCCCCCAGCCCCACCATGTCCGAGGACTCGGCGGGCTCGCCCTGCCCTTCGGGCTCCGGCTCGGACACCGAGAACACGCGGCCCCAGGAGAACACGTTCTCCAAGGGCGAGGCGGACTTGAAGAAGGAGAGCGAGGAGGACAAGTTCCCCGTGTGCATCCGCGAGGCGGTCAGCCAGGTGCTCAAGGGCTACGACTGGACGCTGGTGCCCATGCCCGTGCGCGTCAACGGCTCGAGCAAGAACAAGCCGCACGTCAAGCGGCCCATGAACGCCTTCATGGTGTGGGCGCAGGCGGCGCGCAGGAAGCTCGCCGACCAGTACCCGCACCTGCACAACGCCGAGCTCAGCAAGACGCTGGGCAAGCTCTGGAGGTAGGGCGGGCGCGGCGGTGGGCTCCGCGCGGGTCCGCGAGGGCTGGGGGCGCCGGCCGGGGCCCGGGGTCCGCGCCCCGCCTCCAGGCAGGAGGGAGTTGCCGGTCCCGGAGCCGGCGCGGGAGGGGGGGGGCGGAAGGCGCGGGGGGGGGGGGGGCGAAGTGTAACTTGGCTCAGAGTTTGACAAAGTTCTTGGATTGCTCTCGGGGAAGGGAGGGCGGCTGGAGGTGGGGGGGGCGTTGGGGGGGGGGGGGCGGAGAGAGGCAGAGGGTGGGAGAAGACTCGCGGGAGACGCGGCGGGAGGGGGCTGCCAGCCCTATCTCACGTCGCCGTGAAGTTCAATCCCAAGTGGGGGGTTGGGTGGGAAGTGAGGTTTGCCCCTCGCTCTCTCCAACTGCGCTCTCCGGTGCAGCCTTACAGCCAGGGGATGGGCTGGAGGGGGGCGGGGGGGAGCGGACATCAAGACTAGAGGAGACCCCAGGCAGGAATGGGGGGAGCTCTGCTGGAAATAGGTGGACGCAAGTGGGGGGGGGGCGGAGCGGGCGGCGCTCCTTGGCGATTCAGTGTGTTTTTGGAAAGTTTTTAAAGAAGTTGGGGGCGGGGGCCGGTAAACTACAGTGGCAAAGGCACTCAGAGCAGAGCAGCGGAGAGCTATTTTCATCCGCAGGGTTTCCAAAATAGAAGAGGGGAGAGGGCGGGGCCGGGAGGGAGCGCTCAGGTCGGACTGAAAGAACCGAGATTTCTTTTTCTTTTCTTTTTACTTTTTTTTTTTTTTTAAGAAAAGTTATGAGCTGCAGCAGTGGCTGGAAAGCAGGGAGGAGGGAGGAAGGGGTTATGTGCGAAGAAGCCGAGCGGTCGGGGTCGCCTCTCCCCCCCCCCCGACCTGACAGCTCAGCCAGTTTCACAGAAGCCCCTGTGTTTCTCTCTGCGCCCCCTCCCCCGCCCCCAGACTGCTGAACGAGAGCGAGAAGCGGCCCTTCGTGGAGGAGGCGGAGCGGCTGCGCGTGCAGCACAAGAAGGACCACCCGGATTACAAGTACCAGCCGCGGCGGAGGAAGTCGGTGAAGAACGGCCAGGCGGAGGCAGAGGAGGCCACGGAGCAGACGCACATCTCCCCCAACGCCATCTTCAAGGCGCTGCAGGCCGACTCGCCGCACTCGTCCTCCGGCATGAGCGAGGTGCACTCCCCGGGCGGCGAGCACTCGGGTGAGCGCCCCCCCACCCCCACCCCCCCGCGGCCCCCGGCTGCGCCTCCCGAGGCCGACTGGCACACCCCCAGGTCTCCACCCCGCGGACTCCGTTTAGGGGCTTGCGCTCCCCGGGGAGGGGGAAAGCTACCCCTAGCGCCGAGTCCTTCTCCCCTCCCCCCTGCCCAGGGCCCCGCGAAGCCCCTGCACGCGCGCGCGCACACACACACACGCACACACTCACACGGATGTAGAGACACCCTAGAGGATTAATTTTTATGGCCAGGTAAAGTGCCTTTACAGCTTTTCTCCCTTCGCTCGCTCCGCCACCCCAAAAGCACACACAGGGTTCTCCTACAAGTAGCAGTTTGGTCTTCCCGACCCTCAGGGCGTCAGACCCTCCCCTGATAAAAGATTGACGAATGTGTACCGGCAGGTTAATCATTTGGCGACTTATCTCCGGTGCTGCGCGCCTCCAGCGCGGCTGCGGATCCTTAGGACGCTTTTAAGCTTGGAGGGAGGGTCCCAGGAGGGTTCCTAAGCCTGAGGCCTTTGCGCGGCCCTTGCTGACTTTTCTCTGCTGCTTGTCTTTCCTCGCCCGCAGGGCAATCCCAGGGCCCCCCGACGCCACCCACCACCCCCAAAACCGACGTGCAGCCGGGCAAGGCTGACCTGAAGCGAGAGGGGCGCCCCCTGCCAGAGGGGGGCCGACAGCCCCCCATCGACTTCCGCGACGTGGACATCGGCGAGCTGAGCAGCGACGTCATCTCCAACATCGAGACCTTCGACGTCAACGAATTCGACCAGTACCTGCCGCCCAATGGCCACCCGGGGGTGCCGGCCACGCACAGCCAGGTCACCTACACGGGCAGCTACGGCATCAGCAGCACGGCGGCGACCCCGACGGGCGCGGGCCACGTGTGGATGTCCAAGCAGCAGGCGCCGCCGCCGCCCCCGCCGCAGCAGCCCCCGCAGGCCCCCCCGCAGGCGCCGCAGGCCCCCCCGCAGGCCCCGCAGGCGCCCCCGCAGCCGCAGCCGGCGCCCCCGCAGCCGCAGGCGGCGCACACGCTGACCACGCTGAGCAGCGAGCCGGGCCAGTCCCAGCGAACGCACATCAAGACGGAGCAGCTGAGCCCCAGCCACTACAGCGAGCAGCAGCAGCACTCGCCGCAGCAGATCGCCTACAGCCCCTTCAACCTTCCGCACTACAGCCCCTCCTACCCGCCCATCACCCGCTCGCAGTACGACTACACCGACCACCAGAACTCCGGCTCCTACTACAGCCACGCGGCGGGCCAGGGCTCCGGCCTCTACTCCACCTTCACCTACATGAACCCCGCGCAGCGGCCCATGTACACGCCCATCGCCGACACCTCCGGGGTCCCTTCCATCCCGCAGACCCACAGCCCCCAGCACTGGGAACAGCCTGTCTACACACAGCTCACCAGACCTTGAGGAAACCTTGCACGGAGGGTGATGATGGCCGCGATGATCAGAAAAAGAACCGAAGAAATAAATCACCAACCAGAATTTCCTTGGGGACAGTTTTTTTTTTTTTTCCCTTCTTTTTCTTCTTATTCCTTAAAGACATTTAAGCTAACGGCAACTCGTGTCCAGATTGCAAGGCAGACACATTAGGTATCCAGACCAGACGCCTGACCACCTTGCTGCAAATCGGGGGGCCCTGCCGCTCTCCGCCGGAGGGACCCTTGGAAAATCCGCAAGAGAACCGAACTCTTGAAGACCTTCTTCAGAGCAAGCACGGAGGGACATGGAGAATCGTGTGACCAATTTATTTGCTCAATCTCTCCACCTGTTTTGGACTTTGTAATTATTTTTTAGCAGTAATTAAAGAAAAAAGTCCTCTGTGAGGAATATTCTCTATTTTAAATATTTTTAGTATGTACTGTGTATGATTCATTACCATTTTGAGGGGATTTATACATATTTTTAGATAAAAGAAATTAAATGCTCTTATTTTTTTTCCCAACAGCTAAACTACTTAGTTGAACAGCGTGCCCTAGCTTTTCCCGCAACCAGAGTATTTTTGTACAGATTTGCTTTCTCTTACAAAAAAAAAAAAAGCGTGTGCGTGTATTAACAAAAAAAAAAACCACACAGATTTGTGTTACGCGATCAGTTTTGGGGGTTAGCTTTGCTTAATTCCTCAGGCTTTCTGATTCAAGGAGGAGCTGCCTTAGAGAAGTAAAGGCCTTATTTTGCAAATATGGAAGTAAACCATAGTGTAGAGAAGCATTTGGTAAGCTTTATCATATATATATATATTTTTAAAAAAGAAAAAAACAAGAGAAAATACCTTGAGCCTTAAAACCTTGCTGCTGGAAGATACTCTTACTTTTAGTGCATTTGCTTGTTTGCTGCAATCTTAAGAAAGAAGTAAAAACCAAGCAAAGGAGCTGAAATCTGTCCTGGGAATGTTTTCAGCAGCCGGGCACACTGCCCCCTGGTTGCCTCCCATGTGGGGGGTACAGATGCTGGATCCCTCCCTCTCACACTGTCACCTATGCCTCTCCGGACACCAGCAGTTGACCTTCAAGACATTCCACCTGCTAAAATTATTTATTTTGTAAGGAGAGGTTTTCATCAAAAAAAAAAAAAATCTTTCTCTTTAAAAAACATTTTTAAAAAAAATTTTACCTTCTTGAAATAGGTTGTTGAGCCTTCCTCAAAGGGTATGGTCATCTGTTGTTAAATTATGTTCTTAACTGTAACCAATTTTTTTTTTATTTATCTCTTTAATCTTTTTTTATTATTATTAAAAGCAAGTTTCTTTGGATTTCTTGTTCTAGGTTTGTATAAATGCTTTTTCGTCTGTCCTTTTTTTTTTTTCTTTGTTTTGTTGAAAACAAACTGGAAACTTGTTTCTCTTTTTGTACAAATGAGAGGTTGCAAATGTAGTGTATCACTGAGTCATTTGCAGTGTTTTCTGCCACAGATCTTTGGGCTGCCGAAATTGTGTGTGTGTGTGCGTGTGTGTGTGTGTGTGTGTGTGTGCGCGTGCGTGCGCGCGCGCGCGCTCTGTGATACAAAATAATGCTGGCATGTGTCATGGATAGTCCCCCTGCAAGTTTTCTTGGGGATAGAGAAGAGAGGCAGAGGGGATCAGCCCAACAACACACTTCGTTCTTAATTCCTTCTGTGGCTGGAGAGTTTGAGAATTGCTTTTTAAAAAAGACAGCAAACTTTTTTTTTAATTTAAAAAAAGATATATTAACAGTTTTAGAAGTCAGTAGAATAAAATCTTAAAGCACTCTTATAATATGGCATCTTTCCATTTCTGTATAAAAGCAGATCTTTTAAAAAAAACTATTTCTGTAACTTAAGAAACCTGGCATTTAAATCATATTTTGTCCTTAGGTAAGGTTTGGTTTGTGTTTGTGTTTTGTTTGTTTTTGCTTGTTTCCCCCTGCCCCCGAACCTATGTTCTCTCTGTGAAACTCATCTTTCCTTTTTTTTCTTTTTTCTTTTGTATATTATTGTTTACAATAAATATACATTGCATTAAAGAGTAAGCGGCCCTGTGGTCTTACTCCATTCTCCCCTTTAAAGACGACTTGAAGAATTGACGCACAAAAGAGATGGTCACTTACAGATCACTGTGATGTTTACTTTTCTGTGTGTGCACTTTCGACACCCATGAAAAGGCCGTGTCCCCAAAAGTCTCCCGGGGGAAGAAATCTGGGAGAACGTCACCTCGTTAGGTCACATAGATGATTACATGCCAGCAGTTGCCAGCACAGGCAAAATGTCTGCTGTGGAATTAACAGCCTCATGCTTCAGGGCAAAAGCTGTTCTCCTGTGGAAGACCAAGGGGGATATTAGACCTGAAATCAGTAGCTTGTCAGTAGACAGAATGCCAGAGGGGGTGACTTGCCTGTCTGAATTTCACAGCAAACTATTTCTATTCTTATGAATACATACCAAAAAAATGGGGTTATCCATTCAAAAGGCAGAAGGAGCCAAAATAAAAGTTGGCAAAGAGAGATCAGAGGGAAGTCTGTTCTATTAACCCATTACATGATCCAGAGCCTTCCTGGTGTATCCGCAGGGACAATGGAGTGAGATTACCTTATTCTCGTGTTCCCTGCAGTGGAGCGCGTTCTGAGGAGATCAGAGCCCCGGTAGAAGTAATAAGACCTAATCCTGTTTTCCTTGGCTTCCGTGAGATGGGAGTTTCCCGGATCAGAGAAACGTCCAGGTCATTTTTCATTAAACAGATGAAATCACTTCTTCCCTCCCACCCCCACACAGAGACACCCCCCCCCCCTTCACCAGGGCTGATTGGGGAAGTTTCTTCAAAGGAGGCAAGTCTCTGTCACCTCAGGCTCCTTTGGCTTTTAGGCCCCTGCCTCTGACAGCCTGAAACGGGTACGTACCCAGACTCTCTGGTATTAACCTCACATTGTCTGTTTTCGGCCTTTCGGATTCCTGGCTTGGGTCCCACGCCAGGATCATGGCAACCAGGAAAATGTTGGTTATCAATCGAGGCAACACTAGTACTCAGCCTCCTTTGCAAATTCCTCCAGCATGGATTGAGGGCCTGTGATCTGCGGGGTGCCGTGCGAAGGGCCTCCACCGCCACCCCCAGACGTCACATTTGGTTGGTTGGTTGCTCCACAGTGCCGCTGGCGTAGGCTCGGAGTCCAGCCTCCATTCTTACAAAATCTCTTGTTTTTCCCTTGCCAGGACTCACAAAGTCCTTTGAAAGTATGCGTGGTGTTCCCCAAATCTTATTTACTCTTATTCTCCAAATCCCCTTATCTATTAAACTCAGTGCATGTCACCCCATCCTGACCACCACTTTCCCTACCAAATCTATAATGTTTGCCAGATTGTTCTCTCTTCACCTAGAAATATGCTTTTTTCCTCAGTGTGTGACCTTTCGTAGAAAGGGCCAGAAGATTCCATTTGGGTATAATCTTGCTAGGTGAGGTAGGGCAAGCTGCTTACTTTCCTATGCCTTGGTTTTCCCTTTTGCTAAGAGCATTTCTAATCTCTCCTTCTTGTAACAGGGTTGCTATTAGAGCAGTTTTTAGCAAGAAGCAGACTGGGAATTCGCTGCCTCTGAATCTTCTGGTCCGCACAGGATTCCTATGGCACCTGAATCAAAGGTAAATGATGAAAAGGGTGTTCACAGGCTCGTGCTGACACACAGGAAAATGCAAGACAACGGAGCACAGAGGGAATTTCTCTGAATCCCATTCCCCCCCGCCCCCATCTACCAGATTGAGTCAAAGCCCAGCATCACCAGATTATAAAATATTTTAGAGGAATTTTTATTCTAAATCTAGAAACACAGAGCTTATCACTCTGGCAACAAGACATTTATTGAAAACCTAGGAAAGAGGGGCGCCTGGGTGGCTCAGTCAGCTGAGCATCTGACTCTTGATTTCAGATCATGATCTCAAGGTCTGTGAGATCGAGCCCTGTGTCGGGCTCTGCACTGACAGCACAGAGCCTGCTTGGGATTCTCTCTCTCTTTCTCTCAAAATAAATAAATAAACTTAAAAAAAAAAACAAGAAAGAAAAAGAAAACCTAAGAAAGAGTCCTCCAGACAAGAAAAAGCTTGTAATTAGATCCAGGGTTATTTGTTTCTTTGTATTCAAATAAAACCTCTTTTTTCCCCAGTATTTTAAGAAAAAGGGCTTTTTTTTTTTTTAAACAAAAGGGAATAAACATAAGGGAATAAAAACCTCACTTAGAATCAGTCCTTTGGGGCTATTATTAAAATGGCACTCAGATTCATTCGAGCTTTGTGTTTGACTTTCCCACCTCAGCTGAATCCCCATTCCCTCTTTTCCCTGATTTCCACATTTAATATTTTTGAGGCAGTGCTGGGGCACTTTTTATATTAACTTAATTAATGAACTATCATTTTAGCCAGAGATAGATTTACCATGATGCTAAATAAGCTTAAGCCTCAGGCTTGGTCACTCGCACAGACTCCTTTTAAGGCCCTGCATTTAATTGCATATTTTAGCAATGTAATATCTTTTTTAAATTTTTTTTTAATATTTTTATTTATTTCTAGGAGAGAGAGAGAGAGACAGCGTGAGCAGGGGTGGGTCAGAGAGAGAGGGAGTCACAGACTGAAACAGGCTCCAGGCTCCGAGCTGGCAGTCAGCACAGAGCCCGACGCGGGGCTCGAACCCACGAACCGCGAGATCATGACCTGAGCGAAAGTCAGACGCTTAACCAACTAAACCACCCAGGCGCCCCTCTTTTTTTAATTTTTTAAATATTTATTTATTTATTTTTGAGAGAGAGAGAGAGAGAGAGAGAGAAAGACAGGGCATGAGTGGGGGAGGGGCAGAGAAAGAGGGAGACACAGAACCCAAAGCAGCCTCCAGGCTCTGAGCTTCTGAGCTGTCAGCACAGAGCCTGATGCAGGTCTCGAACTCACCAACCATGAGATCATGACCTGAGCTGAAGTCGGACGCTTAACCGACTGAGCCACCCAGGCACCCCAACAATTTATCTTTTTTTTTAAAGACTTCCCTCTCTCTCTCTCTCTCTCTCTCTCTCTCTCTCTCACACACACACACACACACACACACACACACACACAACTATATAAGCTCCAGGACCCCAGAAAACCCGGGTCTTCTAAGACCATAGCTGTTGGAGAGCAAACCATGACGTCAGAGGTTATAAGGTAAATGCTTTTATATCTATTCTCAACTGTGCCCGGCACATAGTGAGCTTACTGAATACCAGTCTTTTATCATAGGACCTGGTGACAATGTCACAGATACATCACTGGGAATCTCTGCCGTAACATTCTACCGTGAGACTTGACACCGTTTCTTCTCCCTCTGAGACTCAAAGCATTTCCACTTCTCACATGATAATTTCTCCTGGGCATAACAGAGGTTAAGTGAAGTAAATCTCCCAAGGCTCTTAATTACCTGTCCTTGCTCCTTCCTTCACTTCCCATCTTCAACTCATCTCTATTATTTTTTCCTATCTCCCACCACCTCTTTCCTGCATTTTCTTAGGTATCTCCTTGACTCTTGCAGCTGGAAAGAGTTAGCTGCTGGGTCCTTATTGGGTTATTCATTTTCCATCACTCACAGACCAGACCTCTTTTA